AACACGCTGGGCTTTAAAGTAAAGGAAGGCCAGGGGTTGCGAAATGTCTCACAGGGCAGGGCACGTATTCTGCATGTGGAAGACCAAGGATTGACTCTAGACCCCGGCATGACCAGCATTCTCAAGTTCTATCAGGTGCAATCCCCAAATTAGAAACAAAGCCGGAAAGGAAATTCAGGGCCAGTTAGAAAATAATTAGTTAGGGGTTAAGGGGTTTGCCCTGCATGTGCCGTTCAGTCCCAGAGACCGCATGGTACTCCTGGATGGATGTGAGCCCATGCACCAGGAGTAGCCCTCAGCATTGCTAGGTATGGTCAAAAATCATGTGCCCCCCCCCCCCCCGCCAAAAAAAGGAAAGGAAATCTAACCACCAAAGTGAGCACTGCTGGGGAGGGGAGGAGAGGGGAGGAGAGAAGAAGGGAAAGGAGGGGGAGGGGAGAGGAGGGGATGGGAGAGGAGAGGAACAGGGGAGAGGAGAGGAGAGGAGGAAAAATAGAGCAGAAGAGAGGATAGTAAGTAAGGCCTTGCATGTGGCTGGTCTGGGTTTGCTATCTGGTACCCGTTATGGTACCCTGAGCCCCACCAGGAGTGAGCCCTAAGCACAAAGAGGCAGGAGTAAGCCCTGAGAGCAGATACATATGGTCTACCCCCCCCACCCCAAACACATACCCCTGTCCCCCAAAAGAGAGAAAGAAAAAAAGAAGAAATCACTCCCTCCCCCCCCCAAAAAAAGAAAAGAAAAACTAGGCCGAGGACGTGGCTCTGGCTCGGTAGAGGGGCATGTGTGAGACCCCGGGTTCCATTTCCCGCACCACAAAGCAAACACAAACACAAAACCAATCAACCAACCATCCAAGGACCGGAAGGCAAGCAGGGCTTCCTGGGCACGCCGCTGGCGGACAAAGGCAGATGGAGGCGCGAGCTGGCTGCCGTCATTTAAACTCTCCATATTGGTCTCCGGACACTTTTACGTGCACGCCATATTCATTCACATTTCCAAACTGTGCCAAGCGTTCAGAATGCGCCCGGGGGCAGGGGGCACGGCCGCCCACTGGCCGCGTGCCCGGGCGTCCAGCACAGGCTGAGCCGCAGAGATCTTAAGGGGATCCGGCTGTGACTTTCCCTCGACTGGCTTCTCTCGGCTTTTCCTGACCGTTCCTCTGAGCAGGCAGGATGACCCGTGGTGGGACTGGAAATTCGTAACCCAAGGGAGTCAAAAGCACATTGAGCCAGGAGTGGAACGAAGGAATTCAGACACCCCAGCCCTCCTCCCTCCCTGCTTCTTCTGGGAAAAATATTAATACTGCTCGGAACTCCCTGGGGAAATTCTTCCTGGGGCCTGTCAGGGGAAAGAGCCCGCAGGGGACTGGACCAGAACACCCTGACCCTTCCTTTCAGGAAAGACTCAATTCCTCACAAGGCTGGGAGAGGTGGTGAGGTCGGCAGTCTCCTCCCCCGCCTTCTGGCTTCTAGAACGCCCCAGAACAGAACCAACTGACTCTGGACCACAGCCACACATCCTGGGCCTCTGTGAGATTGACCACATGCTGCGTTTCCCTGCTCTGTGTCTTCGGGGCTGCATCTCCTTGCTGGGGCATCCCACCGGCCTGACCTCTCCTCCCAAACAGCAGGGGAACAGGACAGTAACAGAACAGTGACCACTAAACTAGACACCTACTCAAGGGGCTCCGGGGAATCCAAGTCACCGTGCCTGGGATGCTGAACCACTGGCTGTGACTACAGGGTGTAGGTACACAACCTCCCCAAAGGTCTCATCGATGACTGCTGGGGCTGAGAAGACCCCCTACTGTCCATGCCAACAGCGGCCTGGCAACCATGCCCCTGTCCAGGGAGGGGTGGATTAAGGCTGCTGCTGAACTATTCTTCATTCCTTTCCCAGGCACCTCCCAGTTACAACCCCCAATGCAAAAGGAACAGTGCAGAGAAAAGAGCTCTGAGATACTGAAGGGCTGTGGAGAGAGACCCCCAAAAGCCGCTGAGACCTCTGGGTGCCACACGTTAGTGCATCATTCAGATCTCTGAGAAAAAAGACCAAGTTCATTCACTGCCCTCGGTTTCCACAAACAGGACCCTCGAGCTCCTTCCTCCAGAAGATCTCCTCTGAGGCTCTGAATCCAACTTGTCAAATGCTCCGATGCCCAGAACTTGCCAAAAGAAAACAGAAGTGGGCTGAAGCAACAAGAGTTCTTATTCTCCAAAGTTTAAGATGAAAACAAATGCACACCCCAAAGTGCTGTTCTCCCTAGGGCAAATACAAGTGTGGGTATCAAAAATTATACTTTTTTTTTTTTAAAGTGTTATGCATTTGTCTTGCCTGTGACTGACCCTGATTCAATCCTGGGAACTTCATACGGTCCCCTGAACACAGGCCAGTCCCTGAGTGTAGTTGCCGAGCACGGCCCAACTCTGCTCCCCCAGATTAAATGTTTAGGACCAGGAAGGCAGATTCAGAGTGAGAGTACATGCATTGCATTTGGAAGCTCTAGGCTTGACTCCTGGTGTCACATGATCTCCCCCAGCACTGCCAGGTGTGGGTTCCCTGACAGAACAAACTTTTCCCTTTCTGATATCACCATCAAATATTTGGGCAGTGGTTCCAAGTGGGGGCTCCTCCTGGCGATATTCAGCCCGACAGGCGGATGCAGCTTGGATGCTCAGGGGCCTCCAGAGCCACATTCAGCCACGTTCCAGGGCCACCAAGGTCAGATCCAGTGATGCTCCGGAGGTCAGTTGGTAGCAGGGGCTTGACCCCACGTCAAGAGCATGCCCTGGCACTACTGCCCGACCTCCAACATCAATGCTCAAACAAATCAGCTTCTACTTAACTCTAGAACCAATGGTGGCATTTTTCCAGCACTGGAAAATGACTTTTCCAGCACTGGTAAACAAGTATGGACACCCTCTAATATCCCTCGACTCTTTCCCTAGAAAAAAAAAAGCTCAGAAAAGTTAAGTGATTGGCCTGTGATCACAGAGCAGGTCAAATTGAGACCGCCCCCGGGCGTGTGTCTAGTTCGGCTGTCCCTCTCTCAACATGTTATGATAGAACAAGTCCAGGTAAACAGGAAAGGCCCCGCGGTGGCCTGGCCCCCACCGAGCAGGCGGCAGCTAGGGTTTCTCCTCGCGCCAGCCTGGCTCCCTTGGTGGCCGCCACCAGCCTCAGTGGAGATCTGGGGAAAGCGGGAGGGGTGGGGGGGGGGGCTCCTTTTCCTATACCTGACCTCAATTCCGGTTCAGGAAAGTTCAGCACTTAATATCAAGTGTAGAGTTGTGGCCATATCTGCCCTAACCAGAATGAGGGTGTCACCAAAAAAAAAAAAAAAAAAAAAAAGAAAGAAAGGAAGAAAGAAAGAAAGACGATACAGGAGGGTGGGAATGAATGAGTTTCTTGAGGCATATTATCTACACAAAGACACCGCCAGTCCCCACACCACAGCCCACCTTCCCTCCTGAGGGCAGCCTGGGGACATAACTGGCACTGGGGCGCATCTCGCATGCCAGCCTGACCTGGATCCTGGGGTCGTTCCCAAGTCGGCTGCTCGTGGACTCAGGCCAGGATCCCATCTGGTCAAGGAATCAGGGTTCAATGACCAGACGGATCTGCATCCGCCCAGAACTGCATGCGAAGGCTGTCCCCTTCCCACATCCTCACTGACTGCACCCCTTCACCTTCCCAGTTAAAAGAGGAGCTGCCCCTCCAGGTCACAGGGGACAGGCTGGGGCAGGCAACAAGGACTCCTTGGGCCTGATTCAAGCATGGCTGCCGGTGTGGTGCTGGACAGAGGTCCCATCGTTAGACCTGAGGCTAGCCTAGAACTCCAAACAGGGCAGCAGGGTCACCGGTCACATGCAAAGAGCCCCCCCTCCCCGCCCCAACTCTGTTTAGCAGCACACAAGGAGTGGGTGAGTCCCCTTCCCCCCTCCCTAAGAAACAAACAGGTAACAGACAGGTAACGCACACACTCACCTGCACTCTGATTTCCTGACTCTGAGCCCCGCAGGCCAATTGAGGAATGTCATTGGCTTATTCTGGTGAGCTCCTTAGAGGCTGCTGCCATAGGATACAGGCTTTACTTAACCTAACGAATCCTGTCACTCCCCCAGCCCAGACCTTGCACCCCCTCCGGAGATTTCTCCCCAAGGCATCAATCTCCAAGGTACCTAAGTGCCTTCCTTGGGCTGACATCTCGCTCAGCCCAGTGGCGAGCGGGCTGGAGACGCCTGAGCCTGCAGTCTCTGTAGCTGCCCCAGCGAAGGTCCATCAGTTATCCCAGGGGCCGTTCTAATTAATATAGAGAGATATTCAATACAGCTCAACGATTGTCTTGCAACCCCAGGCTGGAAAATAAATGGCTCCCAGTTGCATGTGCTCAGCTCTTGCCGATTCTGGTTCTAACTGCCGGCTCAGCATATGTGCAACTTGAACTGTCCCCAAACCAGCCCATGCCCAGCTCAGCCACCTGTCAGTCCTCCACCCTGGGGGTTGGTTCAGCAGACAGCCAGGCGGGGATCTCCAAGCACTAGCTGAACCTCGGGCTCCACCTAATGGCAAAATATCCTCACTCCCCTTTCACAGATGGGCAAACTGAGCTTCACCCAGGAGGGGGTTCAAAAGGAGGTCAGCAACTGAGCAACCAAAGGTCCTCTGCTTGGCCTCTCCCACTGGTAATTTTCCTCTGCCAGTTTACAGGAGGGAAAGTGATGTCAACTTTTTAGTTAGCATCTTAGATTCTGCTCAGCCCTTTGTCTGAGAATAGTTATTCAAACAATCTCTAAGGGTGAGTCACTAGAACGGCTGTTGAATGAGGAACAAACAGAGGCCTGGAAGGATGCGGGAAGGCACAAAGGTACCCCGGGACTGGCCCCAGGGCACACCGCGCATCCTCTCTGACCTCCGCTCGCTGGTACTTTATCCCGGGAAGGCACTTGGGGGAGCGCCAGGGCGCGGGCTGGGCTCGCCGGGGAGGGTCTGCGCTCACCTTTAAATCAGGAGGCTTGCTCCGGGGGCCCGGGTTGGGCGCGGCGGCAGCGCCCGCGTCGGGAGTTGGCCCGCCGGCCGAGTTAGCACCCGTGGCCTCCCCAGGCCGGAGGTCCGTGGCCGGCAGGTGGCTCGCGGCATCGTCCAGCCCAGCTCCATCCTCCTCGCCCTGCTGTTGCTGCAGCTCGTCTGATTTGCACCTCTTCATGGTGTATGTGGGTCGGCCCCGGGAATCTGCCCTTCCAGCGCCCCGTCTTGTGGGGGAGACCGCACCCCCTCTTTACACTCCGAAACGAGGCCCGGGATCTGAATTATTAATGCGGAGGGGAGTCGGCGGATCACAATTGCTCGAATTAAAAAATAAATCTCTCTTTTTTTTTTTCGAGGAGGGTGGAGCGAGGTACGAGGAGGAGGAGGAGGAGGAGGAGGAGGGGGAGCCTTGGTTACAGCTTGGAATAGTTCATTACGACCTGGGGAGCGAAGGCAGGTCACGGGCGAGGCTGGGCAGCAGGAGTCCTTGGGCAGTCATTGGAGCCATTGGAGGAGAAAGCCAGTCCCCCTCCCCGCCCCCCGGCCCCCCAAACTTTCTGCTTCAGGGCATGGGCAGGGCGGCGGGGAGCTGGGCGGCACAGCGCATCCCGCCCGGTTGCTGGGCGCGGCAGGGCGCGGGGCAGCCGGCCGGGCAGGTCCTCGCTGGACGCCCGAGGGGGGCCGGCTGCAGCCCCCGGCCCTGCCGCCGGCCCCCGGCGCACATGGGCCGGCCGTGGAGCCTGCAGCGCGCCGGCCCCTCGCGGCCAGCGCTCCCGGCGCCCCGCTGCCAGCCGCCCGCTCGCCCGCCGCGCAGCCTGCTGCAAAGCAGCGACCGCGGCCCGAGCCAGCGACGAGCGCGCAACCTACCCCGCCCGCGAGGGGAAGGCGGGGCCAGGGGCGAGTGACAGCGGCAGCGGGCCAATGGGACGCCCGCGGGGCCGCGGGGGGCCGCGGGGGCGGTGCGCGGCCGCTGTTTCCGGGTTGGTTGCACCGTGCGCACCCGCGGGAGCCGCCTGGGGGCTCTGCGCGCCGGCACTGCGGAGGGCGGCGCGGGCCCGAGGCGCGGCGCCCGCGGAGAGAAGCGCACGGGACCCGCCCAGACCCAAGGCGCTCCAGTCGGGCTCCCCGCGACCCCAACCCGCTCGGCCGGGGGGGCGCGCGCGCGGGGTGGGAGCGGTGGGGGGGGGGGGCAACTTTGCATATTCTCACTTACGGGGACTCCCGCTGGGACGGCGGGTCTGATGCGCGCCGACCCGTGCCTGCCTGCCTGGAGCCGGCCGGCCCCATCGCGGCTCCCCCCGCTCTAGGCGACCCCTCTCCTAGGAGGTCTTAGGCATCAGAAGCATGCATCGTCGCGACGCAATAATCGGTGACGGCTCCGTGCAAACGGTGAAGCCGCCGCCTTCAAACCAGAAGGTTGATGCTTAGGGGTAGGAGAGGAGGGAGGCGATGTCTTTTTTTTTTTTTTTTCTCTTGAATTTCAGCCAGACCTTTACTGTGAATCAGGATCCGAGCAAAACCTTGGGTCACCAAGGTGCGGAGCAGTGTGAGTGAACCCAGCAACTACTCTGTCTTGTGCCATGACCCTGGATACTGCCAGCAAGGAGGGGACTCCCAAGTCGTCACTGATGCTAAGGCCACTTAGCCGTGGAGTCTGTTAGCGCCCATCCACCCGGCAGACCTGTCACTGGGTTGAGGAAAGCCACGGTGTCACAAGCTTTCCGCGACTGCCCTTGCTTCCTTCTGCCTGTGAAAGTCTTTCATTGGAGAATGCCTTCAAGAAATGTTCAGTTTTGTTATATATATATATGAGTTTAGAGCATCTTTACAGCAGTGTTCATGCTTCTGGTTTTGCTGTACACAGTTACCATGCCTCACCACCGCTACGGCACCCAAGACTGTCCACTACTGTCCTTGCTCTGCTCCTGGTCCAACTCATGCTTCTCTCCCTACTCTTCCCCATTTTTTTTTTTTTTTGCTTTTTGGGTCACACCTGGCGATGCACAGGGTTTACTCCTGGCTCTGCACTCAGAAATTACTCCTGGCGGTGCTCAGGGGACCATATGGGATGCTGGGAATGGCAACTCACTCAGTTCTATAATCCAAGAGTTTATAATCCAAAGAGTTTGCTCTACAATTCTAAGAGTTTGTTTCATAATTTCAAGAGTTTGCCATCATTAGATACTGCCTGTTCCCCGGTTTTGTTACTCTATAGGCCACATATGAGTGAGAACATGTGCTATTTGTCCTCTCCTAACATTTCACTTAACACAGTATCCTGCAGTTCCAAGGAAGTTGCAATAAATTGAATGACTTCATCTTTCCTTATGGCTGTGTAGTATTCCATTGTGTACATATCACAGCTTCTTTATCCCTGCATTGGACATTTGGCTTGTTTCCCTATGCTAGTTATTGTATTAAGCTCTGTAAAAAAATATATATATGTATACATATTCGTATATCTTTTTCAAAAATTAGTTTTAGTTAATGTGTTTGTGTTTGGCAGGGGGATAGGTGCCAAAAAGTAGAAGGGTCATATGAGAGTGACCCTTGTATTTTTAAGAAATCTCCATACTGTTTTCCATAGAGGCTGAACCAGACAATATTCCCACCACAGTGAATGACAGTTTCTTTTCACCCTATCCCTGCCTGGTTGTTTCCATATTTTTTTGACATATGTCATTCTCACTGGTATGAGATGACAGTTCGCTGTCATTATTATTTGCATTTCCCTCCTGATAAGTGACAATGAACATTTTTTCACATGCCTACTAGCTTTCCATATGTCCTCTTCATGGAAATGTCTGTTTATCTTGCCCCATTTTTTGATGGTGTTATTAGTTCTTTTGTTGTTGAACTTTGTGAATGTTTAGCCCTTTATCTGATATAATGTCTCCCATTCAGTAGTGTGTCTCTTTATTTTAACCCAAGCTTCTTTAGTCATGTAAAACCTCTTTGCTTGAATGTATCCCATTTGTTTATTTTTGTTAAGTTTGCCAATGGAGTCAAATCGCTGAAGACATCTGAGGTCTGTATCCTAGAGTGTTGTGTCTATGTTTTCCTCAATGTCTTTTATGGGTTTAGTGTAATTTTGAGGTCTGTATTCTACTTTGAATTAAATTTTAAATGATCTGAGAAAGTATCCAGTTTCTTCCTCTCTTTTTATTTTTTTGCATGTGGCTATGTAGTTTTCCCAACACTCTTTGTTTAAGAGGCTTTCCTTGCTCTATTTCTTATACAAAGCTCCTTTGTCATACCTAGGAACATAGGTCAAACATAGAAATAAAATTAATAAAAGATGTGAAAGACTTATATATCAAAAACTATTAGCAACTTTTGAAAGAAATAGAAAAGAACACCAGGAATTGGGAAAAATAATCAATGTTCGTAGATTGAAAGGATTAACAACATCAAAATGACCGAAAGTATCATACAGATTCAACAGAATTTCCCATCAAAATTCCAATGACATTCTTTTTTTGTTTTTGTTTTTCTGGGTCACACCCAGTGATGCCCAGGGGTTACTCCTGACTCATGTACTCAGGAATTACTCCTGGTGGTGCTCGGGGGGGACTATATGGGATGCTGGGAATCAAACCCGGGTCAGCCTCATGCAAGGCAAATGCCCTACTGTGCTATCGCTCCAGCCCCTCCAATGATATTCTTTTTTTTTTTTGGCTTTTTGGGTCACACCTGGCGATTCACGGGTTACTCCTGACTCTGCACTCAGGATCACTCCTGGTGGTGTTCAGGGTACCATATGGGAGGCTGGGTTGGCTGCATGCAAGGCAAACGCCCTACCCAAGGGGCTATTGCTCCAGCCCCTCCAATGATATTCTTAGGAACTTAGAACAAACACTACTAAAACTCCCTGAATATCAAAAGTCATTCTTAGGGAAAAAAAAAAAAAGATGGGCAGAGAGACAGTATAGGGAATAAGGTGCTTGCTTTGCACATGACCAACCCTGGTTCCATGCTGGTTCAGGGCACTTATATGATCCCCTGAGCATTACCAGGAGTGACCCTTGAAAACAGGCAGGTGTGGCCCCAAAACTATCACTGTATCACTGTCATCCCATTTGTTCATCGATTTACTCAAGTGGGCGCCAGTAACGTCTCTATTTCTCCCAGCCCAGAGATTTTTAGCAGCCTCTCCTTACTCTCTTTCCCAACGATTGGAGGCTCTTTCATGGTCAGGGAATGAGACCTGTTGTCATTACTGGTTTTGGCCTATCAAATACTCCACGGGGAGCTTGCCAGGCTCTGCCCGTGTGGGCAGGATACTCTCGGTAGCTTGCCGGGCTCTCTGAGAGGCATATATATATTATATTTCTCTCTAATATTTGTTGCCTACTGTCTGAACTCCATCAAACATGGTGTGGTAATTATGGAAAATGGGTAGGGAGTGTCTTATGATGTGTCCGGTCTGGAAAGCGGCCTGAAGAGTGGGTGGTTGGATAGTGGAGGTCGGCTGCTGGGGCTGGGTCCTTTGGGGGCGGGTAGGGCTCTCACCCACCTGGCACAGAGTCCGGTGGCGTGGTCATGGGGGCCTCATTTCATACTCCCCTCTGGGAGGAGCAGCCATGAGTTCTAGAGGGTGGCGGATGAGGAGATTGTCTGGTGCCAGCAGGGTGTGGCTTATGGGTGTGATCCCTGAGTCACTGGAGACTGGGAGAAGCAGTCTCTGCTCCTGGGTCCTGTTGAGTCCAGAGTCCAAGGTCACAAAGTTCCACATTATCTGGGTTCCATGGGACTTTATTCATGTGTGAGGCTCAGTGAAGATAGTGGGTACTGGACGTCAGCAGCTGGGGCTGGGTCCCTTGGGGCAGGGTGGCCTCTCACTCGCCCTCCCTGGAGCGCCCTGAGTAAAAACAGCCTGGCGTGGAGTCCAGGACCAAAAACTACAGAAAGAAAAAAAAAAAAGAAAAAAGATGGACCAAAGAGATGGTACAATGAGTATGGCTTGCGTATGCCCACCTGATCTGAGTTCTGTCCCTGGCACCACATATGGTCCCATAAGTCCCCTTAACCAATGAGCTCAGAACCATCAGTAAGCCTGGTGTGGATCCTCTTCTCCCCAATCCAAATAAATAAGATTGCCTGACTTCTAAGAAGAAAAGAGATGATGGGAGGCGTCACATTTTCAGACCATCAATTATAGTATAAAGCTAGAGTAATCAAAATAATGTGGTACTAGAATAAAGATCGACTCTCAAACCAGTAAGATAGAACTGAGAGTCCAGAGGTCAATCCTCAGATTTATGTAGACTCTAATTTTGTTCACAGTTCTTTTCTAGTTAGTTTTTTTTTTTTTTGACTCACACCCAGCAGTGCTCAGGATTTACACCTGACTCTGTGCTGAGGAATCAATCCTGACCAGGATTGTAGTGCTGAGTATCAAACCTGGCAAGCTGTCTGCAAGGTAAATATTCTACTCGCTGCACTCTCTCTCTCTGATCCAAGAAATACAAATTCTTGAGCAGTCTCGCCTACTGAATCATAGTAGTAAACCCAGAAATCTCTTGAGACTCTTGACAAGCTAACATCTGGGGACCATTGGCACAGCCAAAAGGCTTGATCTGAGTCAGATGGTGACTGCTAAAAGGTCTCCGGTCTTCACATCTCTCATATACCATACCCTCCTGCTGCTCCATTTCAGACCACCTACTCTGTGAGTCTCCCAACTGTTCTGTCTCTGCCCATCCCAACCTCTCATTTGAATGTGTATCCTAGAAGAACTCTAATTGCTCAGCACTATTGTCAGTTAAACAGCTACTTCCTAAACGGCAGAGAAGCTCCATTTTT